GTACGTACGTACTACGTTACGTTACGTTACGTTACTACGTACGTACGTAACGTACGTACGTACGTACGTACGTAGTAGTACGTGTAGTGTGTGTGTGTGTGAGAGAGAGAGAGAGAGAGAGAGAGAGAGAGAGAGAGAGGAAAAGGAGGGGGGGGGGGACAGATGGAAAAAGTCTTAAAAGTATCAAATGCAGAATTCAGTATATTTTTAAAGAAATTCAATACTTACCACCCTGCTATTGCCACCATCCACATCAACCTTGTTGCCCAATACCACAAATGGGAAGTTCTCAGGATCTGAAGGGCTTGCCTGCAGATCAAAGTCAAGGAAGTGAATTCAAGATGCTATATTGCTATATATATATATAGAGCAACTTTTATACGCTCAAGGGCTGATGCAATAGTATACTCCCAACACTTTAGATTGAATTTGGGCCAATCTAATTGCATTTCGTATTTAAAATTTAATCTTTTTTTCTACAAATCTAAATCTTTTAAAATTTGGAGTGTCTACTCTTCTCATTAAGGCACGCCTAATAAAAATATTTTAAAAATAATACGCAAAAAACAAATTGACCAAAATACCCAAAAAAGTTTTTGGGGTATTTTGATCAATTTATTTTACGAATTATTTTTTAAAATATTTTTTTAAGTGAACCTATTTTTTAAGAGTAGACGGTCAAAATTTCTAGTAAATTTCGATTGGTATAAAAAAATATTAGAATTATTTTTAAATATTTTTTTAGGTATGCCTATTTTTTAAGAGCACATACTCCAAAACATGATTGGGGCCATCTGATTGGCGCATAATGGTTGGGTCATTGGGCATATACTCTTGTATCAGCCCTTGGGCTAACAAAATTTCTTTCCATTTCTTGAGTTCCAGTAATATTTTTATTTCCATTAAAAAGAAGCAATCTTATGGTTATGGTCCAAGGTTTAGTCTTATATGCGTCATTAAGTAGTACAAGTTCTGGGTAAACCAAAGCGCCAGATTCAATATGTTATAGTAGTTCTTCATTCATTCCCATCCAATAAAAAAAGTTCCTTTCTTTATTTCTAGGGTAAATTTCTTTATTTCTAGGGTAAATTCCTTGATAACTCGTGAGATAAATAAGATCTTTCATATATATATGAATTGTATGATTGAGAATGGAGGAATGATTACCTGAATTAAGAATTCTTCTCGCCAATTATTAAGGTTATCAAATGACTTCATCACATTCACATCATAGACTAAAACACAGCAGTCTGCACCCCTATAGAAAGCAACACCCAGACTTTGAAACCTCTCCTGACCAGCTGTATCCCATATCTAAAGGACATCAGAAAGAAAGAAGAGTTACACCACATAATTCCCAGATGAGGAAGCCGTGAACTCCTAAAATGTATTGCTTTTGACTCCACATAAGCAACATAACTCTATATAAAACAAGGAAAAGAGAGAGAGTAAAGCTTGACATTAGTTTATTCACGTAATTTCTTAGAGGAAGCCAAAATTCCCCAAGTCAAATGGTTTCTGGCTCCTCCAGCAAAAAACGCTCTTACATGCAACTTAAAATAGGCATAAAACTAGTATGACTTAAGCCAAGGTACTGAGTGAAAGGTAAAAAGCAACAATATGAAGTACTGGAGATAAGTTTAATTGGTGAAAGGGCTAAAAAATAATACATAGTATATAATTGGAGCATAAAGGCATAGACTGTTTAGGGGGCAGGCCAACATAATAGTGCCATGAAAAAGGTAACAATAAGCTTGTAGAAAGATAGGAATCTTGAACTCAATTTATTCTGTGGATTACTAGTTGTTTTTCCACTCCTACCATTCAAGTTTCATGTAACAGATTCCTTGCGAAAATCTCCTAAGATCCAACAGCTTGAAGTTCAATTGGCAAAGGCTTCCAGAGTATAACTTTCTGGATATATCAATCAATCTAGAAAGAGTAATATGTTTTGAAGGCCATGGTGCTTCACTAAAGACATCTTTCTTTCCGATAAATAACTTCATAATAGATATATTTTCTCCTTCTCTAAACGTTAGTGCACTATAAAGCATCAGTTTGTGGCGTTGATGTTTCATCTATAAATTCTTTGCGACCACAATGGACAATTATTGAAGACATAGCACTTCTGGATTTGCTTTCATTCGACAAGTTAGAAGAACTGCCCCTCTTGGAAAGTTTTATTTTATTTTATTTCTCTCCTTTTTGGGAAAAAATAAAATAAAATAAAACTGTCCAGGAGGAGCAGAAAACTGTCTAGGAGAGGCAGAATGGGGACTTATGGTCTTACTGAGGGTATGGCCATTGATCAAGCAGAACGGCAGAACAAGATTCGTGTAGCCAAACCCTAAAAGTTGGGATAAGGCTTTGATGATGATGATGGTTTTTTTCCCTTCTTGATTAATTTTGGCTCTGATGATGATGATGGTTTTTTTCCCTTCTTGATTAATTTCAGAAAAAGCTTACACTGAGATTGAGAGCTTGATATACATCTCTCTAGAGTTCGACAGGAATCCCTCTTAGAGTTTTAAGAGAGATCCATATATGTTGATATACCAAATATACAAATTGAAACCATGGAAATTTTCTCAAGAATCTATATCCACTCAATGATTTGCTCTTTCAAGAAAAGGTTCTTAAGACTTTATCGCCTAAAGGTGAGTCTTGGTAAAGGAATTATGGCACCTTGTATTTACAGAGGTAATAGCGGCATGTGACCATAAAATAAAAAATGTGAAATTTCAACAAATCAAGTAGCTAAAGGCTAGCTCACCTCCTCCAAAGCATGGTTTCCAATCATACAATTTTGTTTTTCAGAATATGGTATCCAATTGTAGATTAAAGATCTAAGTTTGTAGTTACTATTATTCATTAAAGAAAGGAAGATACCAAAAATAATTATAAGAAGAAAAGGAAGAAGTTCCAGTTAACTACAAGAGCACCCCATCTACCCATGCCTTAAAGACTCATCGCTAACAAAAATAAGGTTATTCAATTGTTGCAATGCTCTGAACATATGTAAAGAAAGCAAGTATCAACAAGCATACAACTAAAGGTAATCAGCATTTATTTTAGCACAGTCATGGATTGATTTATATAACAAAATCAGTCAGCCATTGTCCAATATGCACAAATTAACCCGGTAATCAACTTTGATGGGTCGCCTACAATGTTTTTCTTCAACACATTCAACTCACCTGCAATGTAAATAACCTATCTTCAAATTGAATTTCTTTTGTCAAGAAATCAGCCCCAATGGTAGCTTTATACTGGTTGCTAAACTTGCGATTGACATATCTAGTGACAACCTTAAGGCAAACTACATCTACAATAAGTGAAGCGTCATGACAAAAACAAAAGAAAACCACAATAAAGGCCACCTTTGGAAATAAATGAGATCATAAGGCATCAGCTCCTTAAAATCAATGTCATAAAATCCGAATTGGCAACTGAAACAGTGAGGGTGCAGCTGACAAGACCAAACGGTTTGACTGTTAAGCCTGGTATCCAGTCAATTAAAAATTTTGATTTAACTTTTTTTGGGCTTGTTATCAGTGTATAGCCAAATTCCATTCAAAATATAATCTAATACCATGGAATGTTTTCTGAAGAGATTTGGCGGTTACAATCCATATTCAGGTGCTCCGCTCTCTCTCTGAGTTTCATATCAACAAAGTGACTCTCTTTCTCAGTTTCATAACAACAAAACGACACACCCTCTCTCTCTCGCTCTCTCTCTCTCTTCTTCTTCATAACAACAAAAATGATTCTCTCTCTGTCCGTCGCAGTTTCATAACCAGAAAATGACTCTCTCTCTCTCAGTTTCATAACAACAAAATGACCCTCTCTTGCTCTCAGTTTCATAACAAGAAAACGACTCTCTCTCCCTCTCCCTTTCTCTCTCTCTCACACACACAACAACAACAACAACAAAATACTCATGCATAAGGATACTGGTTCATCAAAGAGGTCTTCCCAACCCTGGAAAATAGAAAAATTCAACCTCAAATGAGCAATACACAAACAAGTCTATTTTATACAAAACCAGGAAGAGAAAAAGCAACCAAAGTGACTGCTAATATTGATGATCATAAGCACAATAACAAGGAAAATAAAACCAATGCAGAGCACCATAAAAATCCAAGCACAGTGAATGAAAGACCCCATGATTATCAATGAGATCACAAGAATTCATCCTCAAGAACACAAAAAATCAAATAAATTCCAAAGAAAACCGATATCTCTACAAAAGGATCAGAAATTTGCATAATAAAATCTCATACTGAAATTTAGAAACTAAGACAATTTGCAGAGGAAATGAAGACCAGGCAAGTCCTAGAAATATTGGGGAAAAAAATCAGAGAAGCACCAGAAAAAATATCAATATGCAGTTTCAGGAATACGATTTCAAAATACAGATTAAGATGACCTAAAAATGTAGGAAAACCACAGAACAGCAGCAAGAATAAACCCTTAAGCGAAGAAAATTAGCACAAAGGAACCAAACAGCCATAGAAATCTAGAATTAGACCCCAAAAAGGAACAAAATTGAGGCAAATACAATAAAAATCACAGAATATCATAACAAACCCTAGGAAATCAAAGAAATGAGGCTAAAAAAAAAGGAAACAAAAATAGGGTTGTATAAGAACCAGCTTACCCACTGTCACCAAGAATGATGACTTTGAGGAGCATACGCCTTCGTGCTGACATTTTTTTTCCGCGAGGCAAAAAGACCTTTCTTGCCCTAGACTCGCCGGAATCCTTCACCAGAAACCAGAGATCGACCTACACATCACCGGAAAAACAGGGGAGAGAGAGAGAGAGAGAGAGAGAGAGAGAGAGAGAGTACGTGGTTAGTTAGTAGTAACGTAAATTACTAACTAAGTAAGAAGTAAAGTAAGAACGTAACCTTAACCCGTACGACGTACGTTTAGTTTTCGTTTACCG